GGGATGCCAAGATGCTGGAATGGGGGTGCCGGGTGCCGGGGTTGGGGATGCCGAGGTGGGGGATGCTGGAATGGGGGTGCCGGTATGGGTGTGGGTGTGCCAGGGAAGGAGATGCTTGGGTGGGGATGCCAGGGTGAGGGTGTCAGGTTGGGGCAGCCGGGGTGGGGGTGCTGGGGTGGGAGGTGCCAGGGAGGGGGTGCCCCAGGGTGGATGCTGACGCCAGCTCGTCCCGCAGGATGGCATGCTGGTGCTGGGTGCCCCCGGCGGGTACTACTTCACGGGTGAGTCCTGCCTGCCGGGCACTGCCACCCGGGCTGGCCAGTGCCAGGGCACTCACCTTCGAGTGGGCACTGCGGGAGGAGGGCACCCAGGATGGGGCACCCCCATAGGTGCCACCCACAGTGGCACTGGCATCCCAGGGCGGGTGCCAGCGGGTGCCCTGTCAGCGCTGGCACCCATACCGGTGTCCCCCAGGGCTCCTGTACTTCGTGGAGGTGGACACCATCCTCAACCGCTTCGATGGCAAGTCCCTGCTGTGGTGGGGGTACCCGGGGCGCCCCACGGGGGAGCTGGCATCCACGGACTATGAGGACGGGTACCAGGGTGAGCAGTGGGCGTGGGGCAGCCCGGCCCCATAGCCGGCTCATGCCGGGGCATGGCAGGGGTCAGCGGTGCCCGTCTCCCTGCAGGGTACTCAGTGGCTGTGGGCGAGTTCGATGACGATCCCAAAACCAAAGGTACGGCCAGACGGGCGCAGGGGGCCAGGGCCACCTGCGGGGGGTACACGGTCCCTGGGCACCCCTGGGCTCCAGGGTGCCCTCCCCTCCCGAGGGCTCTGGGACACGGGTTGTGCCAGCTCAGGGGTCCTGTCCATCTCTGTGCCCCCATGCCCACCCCAGTGCCAGGGGTATCCCCGTGCCCCCATGCCCACCCCAATGCCACGGCGGGGGCACTCAGGGCTCTCGTCCCCCGCAGAGTACGTGATGGGGGTCCCAAACAAGAGCAACACGAGGGGCGAGGTGAGTGGTGCCGGGTGCCCGCTGCCCGGCTGTGTGGGGATGCCCAGTGGTGGGGACGCTGCTGTGGCTGGGCACCCCGGGGTGGCACCCCGGGATGGGGCCGGGGCCGGGGCCTGACGCTGCTCTGGGCAGGTGGAGATCCTCAGTGTGGGGGCGACCCTGCGCCGGCTGCAGGGCATTGCCAGTGAGCAGGTACCCCCCCGCCCTGCGCCGGCACCCTTCCTCCATGTGCCAG